CTTTAAAAACATTATTTTAAACAAATTACACTAAAAATGTACAAGAAAAACCAATATCTCTTCCCTCATGCATACTTTGAGTAAGCAAAATTGACTAAGTCATTTTTTTAAAAACACATTTAACACATTTAGGGCTGATTTTTCAATAGTCAGATAAATGTTATTTGAGGAATAAAAATTGTTGCTATCACTGTCTTATACAAACATTCTGACGCGACAGCATCATAATTATTCCCCAGGTAACTTTTGTCTAACCATTGACAAATCGGCTCTAAGTAGAATAATTTTAACATCGTATTGACTAGCCTTCCGATCTTGCCAGATATGGTTATTAAAATATATTTATTTAGTAGGTAATTGGCAATCAGAATTCTTGTTAAATTACTCAAGGAAGAGATGCACACATATTATAGGTTGGTATTTAATTAGTAAAGGACAACTTAGCTTTTAAACAACTTTCCCAAAGTTGAATTAAATAAAACTGATCATAACACTTTTTGGAGCGAAATTGAGTTCGCGTCAGCTATCGAGTAATCGAGTCAGCTAGTCTATGCTGATATAATATAGAGGCAAAATTAGTAAATTTGTATGTAGGGGGGTAATCTTTGGAACCGCTTGTCGGATTGCCAAAATTCTTTCACTGACAGATAGCAACAAATATTCCTTAGTGCTATAGGCTATAAAATATCACGCTACGATCAAATGGAGCTGAGCAGCGGGTGAAACCGCGCGAGAGTAGCTAGTTAGATATAAAGAGGTAAAATTTAGTAAATTTGTATGTAGGGGCTAATCTTTGGAACCGCTGGTCGGATTTCCAAAATTCTTCACTGATAGATAGCTACAACGTTCCGAGTGCTATAGGCTATAAATTATACTTGATTAACGTATTTAAGTAGAGCTATCGCTTTAAACACTGCTGTCCAAAATCCCGGTATATATGATAAAATTGCAGTGAAATGATTTAAGAATCTTGTATGGGATTTTTTACCGTGGATTTTTTACCGTAAGTGCCAAGCTATCCTTTACTTATTAAAAGTCACCCTAAAAACAACGAAACACCGTCCTTCAACGGTCCTACTATTACTGCTATTTTCATTATAACAATCGCAATGTCTTAGATATTATTAAAAGTAGCTCTTCTATACTTTTTTATTTATCACAGAGCGAAGATGTACATTGCTTTCTTTGTATGTAACATTTATTACAAGTCGAAAAGAATGTAAGGAATTTAATTTTGCAAATCATCTAAAAATGCAAGCCCAAGTTAATTTAAAGCATTGTATGCATAAAAAATTCTTTAGTTTTAACACACTGAAATGGAAATAGAAAAAAAAAAAAATTTATCGAAAACTAATAAAAATTATACTTAGCTTGAGTGGCGCCATGCAAAATACACGGAGGAAAACCCACTGATATTTCGTAAAAACACGAACAAAAAACTATCCTGTTACGAAACTCAAGTTATCAACGGACTTTAGGATAGATAGTCCAAAATATTATTTCCATAAATCCTACATGTAGTAGTGTGTCTTTTAATCTTTAACTCAAGAACGGATGGACCGATTTCGTTGAAATTTGGTTATGTAAATAGGTGATACCCTGGAAATACACATGGGCTGTTTTTTATTAAGATACAACGCGATGAAAGCCGCGTGCTGAAACTAGTCTTGTACCTATATTTTTGCAAATTTATTAACTTCTACAAGAATACGTGACGTGGAACGTCCCGGTTTTTTGTGAAGCTGGGTTGTCGTTCTGGCCGAGCCATTAATTGGCTGACAAAATTAAATTTTAATAATTGAATGAATCTTTTACGCATACGACACTTTAAATATAACTTTTATTAGGTATATTTGAACCAAACAAAAAACCATTCAAGCATAGAAAACTAAAACATGAGATCATTTTTTTTTTACTATTTTTTCAAAAATTTGTAATTTTTTTGTCATTTATTTATATTTATAGACTACTATATTAATAAGGAGATTTGATTATTTACTAAAAAGGAAAAAAGAGACTAAATAAAAAATTTACGAACCAATATAGCTACTAAAATTATATGATATTTTTTTTGAAAAATTAGTCAGTTACGAAAGAAAATCAAGTAATTATATTATATAAATTATATTTCATATACATATATATAAGTTTCACTACTTAATACTTAAATTAAATATGATGTACTTATAAAAGAAGTTATTCGGTGGATATTTTTTTTTTACATTTTTCACAAATAGATCCATTATTTTTTTTTCTCATTCATTCACTCGTTCTGTGACTCAAAATGCTTATAACTAAAACAACGGGGCGAAAAATTTCGGTTGGGAGCGACAGTGGCGCAACAGTTGGGCTACTGTCGGCCGATAGGGACGAGGAAAACGTCGCCATTGGATATTTAAAGCTCACCAAATTTAATTCTAATAAAAATGTTAATACTATAATTATTTCTTAGGCTTGAAATACAGATGCAAGCAACTCAAGTTACGGCTCTTTTAAACATCGATTAATTTTTTTTTCTACTATCCTTAGCAACTAAGCTTTCATTTGAACTGATGGTAAGCTAACATGGTAATCTAAGTTCTAAATAACACAGGATCATAATCAAATTAATTAATTGAAAAATTAATTAGATATGGCTTACTCACGTTGGAGAGGTGAATGCTCGACTCGTCGGTCGTCACGCAACTGCACTTGATTATGGGCTCCCGACGTGATTCGAAACTATTCGAGTATTGAGTAACCTCGATTTTTTTATAATTCTTTCTTCTATACACACTTAGGTGTGAACTTAATCTCAAATATTAATGAATTTAATTTAAAAGTGAAACATAGCTTGAAAAGCTGCATCTATATTGTTTCCCGCGCCCAAATTTTTCACCCCGTACTCTTAAGACCTAGTAAAAAATATGGAATTTTCATGTTTTTTTTCTTTTGAACTTTCATTTTCCATTCTTAGAAAAATCACAGTAAGAGGAAAAGCCTTGGGTAGATGGAGAATGTTTCTTTTTTGGTGTAAACTAATCAATATTCTATAAAGAAAACATTGTAAAGCTTATTAGACTTAGTTCTTAGATTTTGGAATATAAATCTATGAACACAGAGTTCAAAATTGACTACAATAACCGTACAAAAAGAAACACCCTCCATCGTAAAGCAATACTTTTTCAAATATGTAAAATAAAAATAATAAAAAAAAAACAACTTTTCTCATCGATTAATACTCCAAACATTAATTTATTTACCATTTTAAAAATGTTTTGAACTGAATTTTTTTTTTTCAAATTTTTAGAAATTGCACCATTTTTTAATTTTTTTTGTCCTTTTCTTCGGAAGTTAATTTAGCTTAAATTAATTCGAAACATACGACTGAGCGACTGTGGGGCGATTGTGTGGCAACTAAGCGACAGTAAGTAGAAAAATTGGTCATGATCATTGGAGACGGCGATAAAAAACCGAAAAGTCGGGCGACTGTTGCGCAACTTTATCGCGACCTCAACATCTTTAACACGCGATTTTGAATTTCAAAACCGTGTGCTGCCATCTAGTTGCCATACAAACGCACTACAACACTCGAACACACAAACATACATACACATTACGGATCACGTACATTTTGACATCTTTCAAAATCAGGATCGCGCCCTACACTAAAGAGACATTACTTCCATTGCGAAAACAAACAAAAAAACTCAATTTTGAGAACCTCGGCTTTTAAGATTGTTTTTTCGAAAAAAAAAACTAAATAAATTAATAAAATAATACAAGAAATGTCTGATTTTTTTTCGTTACAATTATATTAAGAATCGAAAACTTATGATAAGAAAAAAATGGAAAATTTACAGAGACGGGTGGCTTAGATATGTCTGAATGATAACTTTAAGAGATTTTACATAACCCGTACAGGGTAAGCACGGATGCCCTAATTTAAATGCATACAATATTAGTGTCACAAAGTTCACTGCCATAGGCTTCGTCCAAACACTTTCCAGTCGATTGGATGAGACCTAAATCCAGCAACGATCAGACTGTGGCTTAAGTCATTTCAGACCATAAAAATGTCACCCGTCTCCATTTAAAAAAACCACATGACCCGGCCTTAACAGATATGTGTTTCTCCTTCAATTACAGTCTAACTAGCATAATATTGTAATAGTCAACGATAAAAGGTTGAATTGTAAAACCATACAGTTGAAAAAATTATGTATCTTTGACCAAAAACTTTATAAACTATTTTAGTGTATATTAACGTATTGTATAGCCCTTTTATGTAGGAAAATCATAAAACATCACGCTACGGCCTAAAAGAGCAGAGTAGCGGAACAGAACAGGAATAAATGCCAATCATATGGTTTTACATAGCAACAATTTTTAATCGAGTTGACCTTTAATAAAACTACATATAAGACCTTTTAGAATTCGAGTTAGAAATTTAATATTACAATTTAATAATAATAATGTCAAAATTAATAAATTAAATACATCTTTTTACAACCAAATCTCGGTTAGAAGTGAGTCATGCATTTGAAAACAAAATAAATATTGTTATAATAACAAAGAAAGAAAAATGCTTGAAATAATATTATAAATTCCAAAAGATCCTATTTCGATTATAAAATAAGAGCTGCCAGGTACATCTTGGTTAAATTTAGCACTAAAAAGTACCGCTCGAACTATTAATGACAACATTTAAAGTACCACTTGGACACTACGAAAATAAAGACGATGACCAAGAAGAGTCCGTCTCGATCACCAAGACAATTCCAACACGCATTTTCAATTATTACTTTGAAAAATCTCAGTACAATTCGGTAGTTTCCAACTAGTCAAATTCAATACTTTTATCCAAACGATACTTTTCTATAAAACTGTATGACGTCATAGTATTTTTGCGTCAAATAGCTTACTTATTTCTTAAAAATTTAGTGTATCGATAGATCGATGAATAAAAGTATATATAATCATTTTTCAACATTGTGGAATCATCGAATTAATTTATTTTTGACCTAGGAAACTACCCAATTATTACCAAGTAATTAATATAAGCATCTTTTACTAAACACGTGTAATATTTATTATCTTAACGACGCAATCAAGAGATGTTCTCTTCATACCTACCATGCCATCATCTTTAATAACACAATTTCGTTCTCAATTTAGTACCCACTCGAGAAAAAATTAAGTCTTCGTGACACTTTGTAGTCCTAGTACTAGGTTTCAGTTAGCACTAAGATTTGTTGACACTTAAAGTACCATAAATGTCTATATTGCATACACAACGCCTATTTTAAATTCGATGTTTTCAACCTTTGTAGAGCCGTATGCCACTTAAAAGTACCATATAATCTTCATAATATTTATTCCACCAGTAATGGTACATTCTTCTTCGACGATTAAGTCAATATACGCATCTATAAGACTTATGGAGTTGTTTCACACTATCAGACCTTTATGACACAAGAAATCGTCACAAAATACTCCAAAAGTAACTAATTATCAACTCAATTCTTCTCTCTTCGATTTACCAATAATGGTTCAGCTTCCCATTGTATTCTTCCACAAAAACTTGCCACTATAAGACTGCTGAGGAATCGCATGGCACTAAAAGTACCACACGACTCCCAAAGTCACTGGGTACTTTTTATCTCGAGTGTCACTACAATGTGTTGTTTTAAGTAGTGGTAAATACCGGGCTGTCTGTTGGACGAGTGGTACTATAAGTACCGTTGGTGCCGGGTCGCGTGGATGCTTCAGTTGTCACAGTATACTGGTAGAACAGGACTGCGCGGCCAATCTGATGTCTCTTCGTTTTCACTGCTTACACTGCCCGATCTGAGAAAGGAAGGTCATTATTGTAATTTGTACCACAACTACTGGGAAATTAATCGCAAATTTTTTGTTTAATCATAGCAAAGAGATCATGTGTGTAATACCCAAGTTGAATTGTTGTCTTCCAAAAGGAGCAGGTTTTACAACTCGACCATTTTATACATGCTTTTTTAGTTTTATTTTGTATATATCAGTATACTACACCAAAAATCTATGTCACCGGAAAATAACAAGATCCGTAACGTTTAACGTGTTTTTACCAATTGCACAGATTAAATAAACATATATACAGTGCGGCCGACGTATCTTGGCGAGTCTGAAGTTAGCCGATTAGCTGCGCAGTAGACAATTTTGTTCCTAAAAGATCCATTGCGCAGACAAACGGCTAACTTCAGACTCGCCAAGATACGTCGGCCGCACTGTACATCATCTACAGAAGAATATAATTACATTATTATGTGGTAAAAGATTTGTTATCCTGAAAAAATGACTAATAGATGAACACGGATGGGGACTGTATCAAAACTACATTTACCTAGCAGCCCAATCCCATTTCGCGCTTATTTGCCGAAGAGATTTTCCTGATTTTCCCCTCTATATATAAACAAATTATTTCATAAAAACCTTTGCCGACAAACACAATAAAAAAAGAATTGTCAAAATTAGTCCAAGTGTTATCGAGTTATGCGATTAACAACTCATTTTGAGATTCATTTTTAAATATTATTTATATAATTAACAAATCGACGGATACAGATATATTTTTAAACACTGCTGTAAGCATTAAAAGGTATGTATTTTACCTGGTCCTGGTGGGCGTGGCGTCGACTGCGAAATGTTGCTCTTCTATTGTAGGCAGGAGTGATGTCAAACGATCAGTTGGTCGGAGAACCTGAGTACAAAAAAAAACAATACTCATTATTTCATTGTGTAGTAAAGAAGTAGTAATTATAGTAACTGGATCACAGTAATTTGTGATTATAATAAGTGTTGAGCACGTTGACACGATCGAAACCTTATCGCGTTTAGCCCTCTGATTGGTGTAGTTTCATGGCGGCAAATGTCTTTCCCACCTATTCAATCGGACCTTGCGATTCACCCAGGTTATAATACCCTTATGGGAACACCTCCGGCAGATTCTTCACCGGTTCCGACGTCGTCGTGTGTTAGAGTACGTACCTTGAGCGTGCGTTCGGACAGTCTCCATACAAGTCGCTGCCTGTCGCGACGCGCCTCGCAGCGCTCGTACCGGGACACTACGTGGCGGACGCGGGCCCGGGCCGCGCATAGGGACGCCTCGTTCATCTAAAAATAATTAAAATTACAAATTTAATGTGTATTTCCACGTAAAACAATAAACATAAAATCCTCAACTGCTATTAAGGAAAAAAAATAGAGTCTTTTTTTTTTAAGAAGAGAATGTTTAAACCTAATATTATTTAAAAAAACGGTGCACCGCACATGTATTTTCTACTGTTTCAAGCCTAGGACCCGGAACAACAATTTGTGGATCACACAAAGAGTTGTTCCGTGCGGGAATCGGACCCGCGACACATTGCGCGGCAGCCAGTTGCCCAGCCACCACTGCTTTGCTTGAGGCTACGATCTGTAACGAATATAAATTAGTATATCATAATACTCACTTGACAGTGCAGCTGTACTTGTCTTGCGAAGTCAAACAGATAGTACGCGTGCTCCTCGGGGATGACGGTCTCTTCGTTCGAAGACCACTCCGCCAACTGTTGCTCTGTAAATGAATTACATTATATTAAGTTGTTGCGTAGTACATTAATATATTTTTTACTAGCTTCCACCAGCGGCATCGACCAGGTATTTAGATAAAAAGGAGCCTGTGTTAAGGCAAGGTATCACCTATCTAGATACCAAATGTTTACCAATTGAGCCCAGCCATTTTGCATAAAAAACATACATCAAGGATTAAACTGAAATGGTAGTGGGCGGATCTCATTTGTCGAATTGGAGACCACATCTAGGCAAAAGTAGTGTAGGACGCTCTCCATTTAGGTGGACTGACGACATCCGCAGCATTGGTTGGATGAAAAGAGCTGAACATCGAGCTCAGTAACGTGCAATTGGGGAGGCCAATGTCCAGCACTGGATTCAATCACGTTGATGTTAACTAAAGGTCTGATCGGGAATCTCGCACCCGCGGGAAGAGTAGCGGTGGTCAAAATGTTATTTAGTCTTCTGCTATTACCAATCAATAATTAGTGTAGATAACTCACCTAGTTTGTAGTATAGCAACACTAGCGCTAGCTCACTGGTACGAGTGTTGACGCAGGCAGCGTCGCACGACACGATCTCCAGCATCTGAACTAACTCCTCTTCCTATGGACAAAAGGTAATATTTATTTATTTATTTATACAATGATAAACAATTTGAATTAAAGAGAGTGGTAGTAGTAGAGTATCACATAGACAATGTAACATGAACTTTTGTTATTTTATAAGTCCAATTTAAAAGTGAGTATTGACCAATATAGTGACCAAGATTGATATGTTTTAAGCTAACCACCCGAGACTGAAATATCAGTTTTTTTCGTGGCAGCAGTACACTGTGTAGAAGCATCATGTAGTGAATGAATTGGTTACTTCATTCGGTCAAAAATAAGTTAATAAATTATTTCGATTTTAATAATTAATTGATTTTACGATATACGATATAATAATCCTATTTGACGCTGAAAAAGACGCGCCACTAAACTCGAAACCAAATTGTCGATTTGGACAATTACCTAATTTGAGTACTAATTTAATGAATAAATGTATTCCAAAGTCTATATCCAATCTGAAACGATCCAGAAGGATTGTTGTCTTTGAAAAGTAATATATCTCCATTGACATAACTACAGATATAAGAAACCAGTAGTTAGCTTTTTAGGAGATATTTACAACTAAGAAAAGACTTCTAAGATGTTTTTATTGTGTGTGTTGTTGGTGCATTTACAAACATAAACCCAGACCCGGAACGACGATTCGTGGATCACATAAAGAGATGTTCCGTGCGAGAATCGAACCCGCGACTCGTTGCACGGCGGCCGCGCCAAACGTGCTAAACGTGCAAATTTGATCTCATTTTTACAATTAAGAACCAAGAAACTAACTAACAACCAGTTATCTGTGAGGCCGTGGTATCATTCGTGCCGAAGCCTGGCTCTTCTACACTATACCTGTGGAGGGTCAAAAAGATATGAGGGTATGTTACCTGGCAGCCAGCGGGCAAGCTGACCCCGCAGTGTTCGGCCTGCAGCAGCAACATAGAGCGGAGCAGCCTCAACCAGTCGAGCGCTGTGACCACCCGACACCCAGCCACTAGGCTCAACTTGTCCACTATGACGCGAGACATGCGCAGAACATCACCAGCTGTGCACGCCGATTGGGATATTGATACTGTAATAGAAAAGAAAACGAATTGTATTACAGTTTCTTTTTCATCACATTTTTCCTGCGAAAAATTTTAGGAACGGCAACCAAGCAGACAGTTTACCTGATATTAAGCATCAAGAGCGGTAACAAGTGCGTTGCCGACATTTTGAGGATAAGGGTTAAGGAGGTTTAGGGATTGGGTGAGGGGAAGCATTGGGAGTCCAGTAACCTCACTCACACAGATAAAACACAACGCTAGTGGTTTTTTCATGCCGGTTTTCCTGTGAGACCGTGGTATCTCCGGTCGAGCCGACCCATTCATGCCGAAGCATGGCTCTCCCACACTTAATAATGAAGTTAAGCATATAGTAATATAGCTGTTGTCTTTCTTACCTAGTTCCTCTACGGAAATGCTACGTTTAGTGTTAGTGTCGGCAGCGTACTGCTCCAGCGCGATGTTCATGCAGGAGACGGTGATGCAGGGCACGTGGCACGGACGTACCTTCATCTTTGTCAGGAACCTGAGTACAGAGATGGGTGTATTAGTAATTTAGTTCAAAGTATTTTGAGCTCTTTAAGCTGGTAGTGTCAAAGAACCTGCCTTTTTGTGATAGTATACCGGGTAAGTTCGGGTTACTTTGACCCTGCGGGGTAACTTTGATCCAAACCCTTTAACCAATAATAACTGAGAACCAAACATATATTCGTTTTCATTGGTTCGAAAATTTGGATCAAAGTCCTCCCAGGGTCAAAGTAACCCGAACTTACGGTAGTTTTAGAGATAACTTTCGTCTTATGTTGAATAAAGGCAAATAAATGTTGTTATAAAAACCAGATTTAAATAAACATAGGTAACCAAATTAAGTTTATTGTGGTTTAAGTGTTAATGGAAATCTAGACAAAAAACATCTACTTAATACCATACTCAGAAACATTTAACAATTTCTTCAATTATTCCTTATTAACAATTTTGTAACCATCGATTGACTCTGAACAGTGGTTGGTAAAATTCAAAAAAATAATATTGGCAATATAAAAATAATCTATGAATATTTTCGGCCTGGTATATGATTTTTTATAACGTGAAACATATGTGGATATGTCCAAGCAAGGGACAGTTTAAACCTAATGTTTATATTAAGTACTGTCTACTGTTCTAAGCTACATAATGTGTTGAAGGTTACCTGTCAAACAAGTTGATGGCACTGATGAGGACGTCTGCGGGCAGGTCGTACCATATTTTGAGACATCTCAGCACGTGGGCAGCGCCGTCGCGCGCACCCGTTGTCACCTCGCCATTCTGGAAACACATGTAAATATGAAATACTTGTTTTTAGTAGTAGCTATGCCCGTAGTAGTAGGATAAGAGTAGCCAATGTGCTATGGCAGACTGTGGAATCTTAAATTCAGAATCATATACTAAATAGTTTTTAAGACAAATGCGTTTACAATATTAAGTAGTAAGTAAGTATGGTGCATAGAAACTAACTAAATAACTAACTAACAATTACATTTGACATCAAAATCAATGTTATAGAGGTTTAATTCCTGTTTTTAGTCAGTAAGAGTCAAACACTCCTCATTATCTCTCGAAAGAAGTCATTGGACGATTTCCCCATCACAAAAAAGGGGTTACTTCTTTAATAAATTGACATCATTTTGTGCCATATAAAATTTCGAAGCCTGTGACGGTTCATACAAATCTAGACTATAAGCCTTTACATAAAAAGATTTTTCTTACTCTTCTCCTGCTAAGCATAGCATTACATAAGTACAAATAACAAATATATTTTTAAGTATTTGATACATATAAGAAACACCATAAAAACTACTATGTAGTGTGCGTATGATCATGTTACGTCCACGTGTCGCGAGCAACCGATACTCGGCTGTCGGTCAAGGCCGTGGGGTTCGATACAGGCGACTGTTTTTATCTAACTCACTCGCGGAACCATTGCGAGTACATATCCTTGTTTAATAATTGTAATGTTAAATAATTGTAATTTCAAAAACTGCTGATCAATATTTGTACTAACACTTATTATTTTACGAATATGGGTACTAAAGGTTATTAATTATTATACAACTGATTAATATTTGATTTATGATATCTTGACCAATGACGAATTTGTAAGTCCCAATCTTCTTTTTCAAAAAAAAAAGCTCAACATATTACATAACTGGTTAAACATTCTAATCTTTATAAAAATACACTATATATTAAAAGATGTACAGACCACACGCGATAATAGTATGTCGATTGCTAGTAAAAACCAGTTAGTTTCAAGTGATCCAAGAACAGAGCTTACAAGTGCAATCATATTACAATCAAGTTCAAATAAAATCAATAAAATGTGCATAGAAGCTAAAGAATGTTAGGGCTACAGTTAGTCACCGAATAAACAAAGAAAAATTGCGTTTTTTCATGTGAGGGTTTAAATTAAATAGCTTAAGTTTATTTCATAGAATGACTCCTATTTATGTGTGGCGAGAGGGCGTGTCAGACACTTTACTGACTAAAAACCTCTCAAAGTTGGTGTCCCACATGTGATGAAGGACAAAAAACAATTTCAAGTAATCCAAGAACACTTATAAATGCATTTAAAATCAAAGAAGCTACAGGTGCATAGGAGCTAAAGATTTATAGTCATAGAAAGAAAAAATTGCGTTTTTTTATGTGACGGGTTAGGTTAGTTCGTTACTCCTATTTAAGTGAAGCGACAGGGTGCTTCAGACTCTTACTGACTAAAAAGCACCTCCCCATTACGTGATGAGAGACAAAAGCGTAAAATTACGTATGTTGGTTAGTTCGTCCTTACCTCAGATTCAGCCGGCAAGCAGAGCTTCGGTTGAGACTTATGTTCGAGCAGTAGGTACTCGTTTAGCGTCGCGTACATGTGTTGTGCTTCCTCCTCAGGAGAGCGTTGCCGCGACGTGGACGCTGCGGAAAGGTCAGCATCCGGGTGCCCCGCGCCCGATCTCAACATTATCGGGATTATTGGCGCGAGTTGAGGGTGAATCGGCACCTGAGTAAATAAGGCACAAGTTAAAATCACCATTATGGCAGTTGGCAAGTTTTGCAAATCGAATACTATATACAAAAGATACTTCAGAGGATGTTTTCTTAAATCATTAAGGTAAACATTCTCTAAGTATGTCGTCACAATCGAGTTTTTATTTATTTACAGCAGATTGTTGAATAGGCATTATTCAGCATTTTTCTCTGTATCACGTACATGTTTATTATGATGGATAACAAAATCGGACGATATGTTTGTCATAAAATTCATTGAAACATTGGTATGAAACTGTAGGAGACTAATTGAAGGATATCGTTTTTGTGCCCTATAGGTGCCGCTACAGAGGCAAAAATTCTTTTCATCTCATATGATCCCCAATTTGAACTACGCTAGTGCCAAATCTATCTGTTAAGTATGATTTAAACCACATCTTGTTTAATTTTTTTTCTTCTTCATATAAATCGTTGCCCCACCCTAGGATTTTATCCTGTGTCGTGGGTGCGGTACAAACATACAATTTCACATACACCTGACACCCAGACCCGGAACAACAATTTGTGGATCACACAAATAGTTGTTCCGTGCGGGAATCGTCGAACCCGCGACACGTTGCCCAGCCACCGCACCAACAGTGCTGTCAAAATAACTGGATTATGCCTGTTTTTTTTATCTGAATTTGCAAACATTAATAGGGAGATAAGAGCTTAAGCTACACTAGCGCCATCTACAGAGCGCAAAAACGAAAACCCTCACAAAATAATCTCCCAAAAGTTTCAGAACGTTCTAGAAGACTGTAAAACAGGTTAAATAATCTTACCTAAGCGAGTGCAGGAGCAATCAGCGGCTTCTTGTCGTTGTATATGCCCGCACCGATCCGCCCACAGCTCGTTTCCCGACGGTTTAGCGACCGGGCGCGAGGGCCCTAGTACCTGACAAAGAGAGAGCGCCGTCAACGCACTGCAGCCTGTATAGGCCACTGAGCGATGATGCAGGGTGGAAGTGGAGGGTGTACTGAAGACAGTAGAGGATATTTCTTGGTTTTGGATAGTTAGGATACAAGATTGGGACCACAGGATTAGCTGTACTTGGAAGTCAAAATCACAAGTATATTTTTAATTGAATGAAGTTTTTACAACAAAACAAATATACGAAAAACTTCGAAGGAATTTTATTAATTAAATTAAAATAATAAATTAGATTAAAATAATTGTGATGGGAGATTCAAAAATACTGATTAGGTAGGAACTTTGTAGTTGGAGAGGATTGTGGGGAAGGTTTAGCTCTTGGCTACCGGGAGCAATGTTTTGTTGAAAAACAATTGCCCAGCCGCCTGTGCGCCTCTCAATCACGTCAGATACACTACAAGCAGTGGTTGAGCACCGTTGTAGGGCAGTACAATGCTCTCTAGCGAGAAGCAAAGACACGAAAGCGTTTAAAAAACACAACAAAGCCTCGGTCTATCCCTTGGCCCTAGTATACACTGGGAATAACCTCCTGGTTAACCCTTTATACTATTTTTATATGAACTTTTGACAGTTCTATCGCAGCAAGCGACTCGGGCCTCTTGACAGGGATAAGTTTACAATAGCAGTAGAAATCTTTTTATAAAGTTACCTGTAAAATTGGAACAATGAATATGGCATATGGATGCGTTTGAGCGGATGATATTTGCAAGCTTAGTTTTAGGTAACCAGTGTCTTTTACGCACCAAAGTACTCTTCTACATTTGATCGCGAGAAATCCAAAACACAGCACACAGCAGCAACACAGTTGCTGAGGTTTGCCTCAATAAGCAAGACTGATTTCTAAAGAAGGTTTAAGTCACATACACACACTTAACACATTCAGTGCCCCCGACGCGTATGTGCGTGCGAGGAAACGCACATACGCGTCGGGGGCACTGAATGTGTTAAGACAGCGTTCCCGGTTAAATGAAGAGACTCAATAGTTTTCAATATAAAAACGTAGTAGTATCCGAAAAAATTACGAGTTTTTGTTCTGTATTCTGAGGAGTTACACCTCATTATTTCACATAGAAGTAAGCTAGTTTATTAAATTGTTTAATTTCGAATTGTTATCGGTGATTGACTGACCAATTTAAAACAAATAATAGACTTATTACGTACATTGTTTAGATTAATTAATCGTTTGTCATGGCGCTATCTTCTTTCTTTTTCAAAAAACCTACTACTTGTTAGCATACACCTAAATAATAACAAAAAGGGATAGAAAGAAATGAGAGTACCACATCTCAAGGCCACATTTAATCAGTGAATTCGATTCCGAAATCGTTTCAAACACAACTTAGGGCCTATCAAATAAAATGTTTATGCCTAGAAAACATAATACAGTAGTTTCCAACTAATCAAATTCAATACTTTTATCCAAACGTCAAAAACGATACTTTTCTATGAAATTTGTATGAAAAACTGAGCTATGACGTCATACCATTTTTGCGTCAAATAGCTTACTTATTTCACAATAATTAGCTACAAAAAAATCTAAAACTTGGTGTATCGATCGATCGATGAATAAAAGTCTAGTTATTTTTCAATATATTGTTGTATTGAAACATCTAATTAATTTATTTTTGATCTAGGAAACTACCCGATTATGTACTATTCTGTTCACAAACTAGTAAATAGCAAATACCGCTTCCGTTTGACGTCACGATATCGTCAGAGACACGTAAAACCTCAATGGAATGAAGTCAGAACTATAAACGTAAACAAATATCGGTAACTTAATATGTACATCTATGGAAAATGATACATTTATGACTTCGTGTTTACTGCCGTTGTCGATTTCGTCTAGCTTAAGTTTTTGGGCTGGAATATCGTCAAATGACTTTAAGAGTGTGGCTAGAGGGAGTGTCAAGACTCTTACTGACTAAAAACCACCTCCAAGCCCGTTACGTCTGCTCCAGGCCCAAAACCCGGTACACTAATCTATACTAATATTATAAAGAGGTATTGTAAGTTTGTATGTAGGGGGTAATCTTTGGAACCGCTGGTCGGCTTGCCAAAATTCTTTCACTCATAGATAGCTACAATGTTACTGAGTGCTATAGGCTATAAAACATCACGCTACAATTCAATGGAGCCGAGCAGCTGGTGAAACCGCGCGAGACTAGATAATTTGATATTTGACATGAAAGGCACATCTTATATTCAGCGTCCCAAATAACCACAACCAAACACAGGACCTTCTTAAAGCAAAGATACATAAATAAATTGTTGATCAACATTCTAATTTGACGTTGTTTATGCATCCTCATGAAATACTGGAAATACAGTCTTAATGCTATGAGTTTAAAGTTTATTTGTAGTCTGATAGTGTGTAAAGTCAGCCATTTTGCGTCTATGTGAACGTGATTTAAAAGGGTTTGCAGAAGTATAGATATGACTAAAGAAATTAATTTTTAATCTAAATAGTCTCAATATTTGGAGAAAGCAAAATAAATAAGACCAGTCACTGACTCAATGTCGAACTGAATGACTAGTCGTTTGATTGAGCTTTATTTCTCATTCAGGCTGTAAGTTTAAGCGCGAAGAGAACGTCATAAAAACAGTGTTGCTTCCAGAATGGTAGGTCAGGTTAGGTTAGAACTGTAAACAGCACAGATATCGAATCGCCATCGTAAATAAACAGCTAGTCAAATTGTACTAGAATCAAAGAGCTACTTAATTGAATGAGTGGCATTTTAACAAGTGACTTAATATGTACAGGTAAGAAACTAAATTGAAAGCTTTTACCTAAGCTATTCTTAACTCATATTCAACAATACTTTTCGCCAATTACAAAACAATGTAAATTAATTATAATATCATTGTAACTAAGCCACCGACTGATCATATTACAGACGCACTTTCATCGAGAGAAAAAGTGAATATACTGTGAATTATTTTTACTGCTGACTCTGTTATTAATACTGCTAATATACACTTCTTAATGTCCAACCTCCATCTTTACTGGGCAATAATTTGATCTAGACACGTCGACACACGACTTTCATCTTGTAACATCTAGGAGCTAATGACGTTTTTTTTTTGTGAGGGGAAAATTATCAAATGACTTCTCCCGCCCGTCTGTGTCAGACTCTTCCTAACTAAAAACCCCCCAGTTCCTTCTCCTGCTCTGGGCCGAGGTCGCGGTGCCTCATTGCGCTTACCCCGCAACCCCGGCTGAAGGAGCTAATGACGTAGAGGACTAAGAGGGAAGCCTTTGTCCAGCAGTGGACGTCTTCCGGCTGATGATGATGATCATAACGCAAAGACTGACTCCTTATTTATTATATACTTTATTGTACACCATATAGTTACATGTACAAACATTGAGTGTACAATGGGCGGTCTTATCGCACAAGGCGATCTCTTACAGACAACCAGAGTTTGAAATAGTCCATTAATGGCAAAACCCACATATAAAGTCGCCATCCTTACCAAAAAAAACCCAATCCACTACAAATTTTGAATGAAAAGCAAGCAATTTCCGTAATCTGTGCAAAACAAACTAGATCGAGGCGAGTTCATTCATGTCGCGGGATCAACGGCCTCTCGGTCAAGCGTCGTGGAACTTAGATAAACTCACTTTCATACTAACATCACAGAACATTATCATAATTATAAATGTTTTGCAAACCGTACGACTAGTTTTACTTTACATAATGTTGTTTTTCACGTAACATCACTATTTTTTAATTCTTATCTTTAGCCACGAGAGAGAGGGGGCGGCTTTTGCCCAATAGCGAGACGATCACAAGAAAAAATAAAGCTTACGGTTGAGCTGATGGGTCAGTTGTCCAAAACACTGGATGTATAAACCAATGCTTTGACAAACATTTACTAATTGTTTGAGCTAATTATGAATCCTACGATGGGAGGGTCATTCACTGTGGCTGTGAAAAAAATTGCGTCTAATGGGGCGTGGTATGCGTACGACAGATCCACACTAGCACTATCTAGCGAATAAAAAACGCCCTTCGATACACGCCGCGTTATAACTAATGATTGTAACGATAACGTGTTCATTCCCTTATATTTTTCATATAATACAGGAAAAAGAGGTGACATACCATGTGATAGTGAAAGGCCAGCATCGCCATAGAGAATCGTAAGACCAAAAGAAGCGTCACAAGTGCGTTGGTTGGCCTTTATAAACAGACCCTTAATTCAAAAACATTATTGAAGATGGATTGAATACAGTAGCTTTATCAACTACAGTTTATTTGAAACCATATAAAACAATAGCGGTCCCTGAATAACAAAAGGGGGTCATAATAGTTCAAACATTAAGGACATTATATTTATAATAAATTGCGTAAACAGCTATTATAAACTCAACAACTATTGTGATAAACTTTCGAAATACAAAACACAAAACAGCTGATCATTGATTTCATTAACTTATCAAAGTATAAACAATTTAATCTGCGTAGAGAAAGATAAAGAAAGTCCGTAATGAACATAGCAATGAAAACTTCATAATGATCAATAAAAATCTACCTTATAACGGTGGACTTAGGTCAGCTTCTCATATGGCAAACTGTTCTTGTGAAAAAGTCTGGCAGGAATTGTAAGATTAATTTTCTAAACACATTTCATTCATCTTATAAGCCAGTCTTGAATTTCTACTGGACAATTAATTTAGACACATAAATTAATTTAGAAACAAAGACTGTCTCTGTCCCTACGTGTATGCTTAAATCTTTAAAACTACGCAACGGATTATGATGAGATTTCGTTTAATCTTATATATAAAAATGGATCACAAAATGTGTTGGTAAGCGCATAACTCAACAACGCCTGGGCCAATTTTGCTAATTCTTTTTTTCTGTTGTGTTTGTTATTGTCATTAGAAGGTTCTTATGAAAGAAACTATTAGAAAACTAGAGGGGAAGATTAGGAAAAAGTGACCCTTTGATAGCAAG